TCACTGGATGCGCACGTGCGAATCACCTCGCACACCGTATCGCTGGTCGGGGTGCACGACTCCTGGATAAATGTTCCAGCCCCACACTCTGAGCACGCGGTGCACGTGCGATCCGTTGTGGGCGTGCATGGTTCCACCTCAAACATTGCCCCTTCCACACAGCGCGTGCACGTGATGCACAGTGTGTCTGTGGCAAACCCGCAATCCCGAAACTGTGTGTGTGTGTGTGTGCGTGTGTGCGTGTGTGTGTGTGTGTGTGAGTTGTGAGTTGTGTGTGTGTGTGTGTGTGTGTGTGTTGTGGGTGAGGGGAGGATTGAGAGTGAGTGACAAGCGAGATGGGAATTGGGTGGCTTTGAAAATAGTCGGATGGCTCAGACACAGCTCCACATGGCTGTCCTGAGCTTCGCACAGCTGATTTTCACACACACATGCACGCACACACACGCACACACACGCACACATGCACGCGCAGCTGCAATGTACTCACGGCAAATGTGTTGTCGGAGCATTCGGAACAGCGGTCACAGACAGTGTCTGAGGTGAGGGTGCAGGGCTCGGCCTGGAAGAGAGAGAGACTCGCGTCTTCATCCTCAATGTCACTGCAGACAGTGCATTGCCTGCAGGCACGGTCCGACGTGACGGTGGGCGGAACCTCCTCATATGTGCTGCGCAAGTCGCACTGGACCACAGACGCGCACTCGCGATCGCTGGTGGGCGTCAGAGGGGTCCGTTCGTACTCGGATCCATCATCCGTTGAGCACGAGCGCGCGTTCGCACATTCGCGGTCAGTGGTTGCTGTGGGCTGGACTGCAATGTACTGCGTGCTCAAATCGCACACCGTCAGAGCGCTGCACACGCGGTCGCTGGTGCGTGTTGGTGGCAGCGCCTCAAAGGTGGCCGGGTCTGCAATGTGGCAAGGTGGCGAGATGGTGTCACACGTGCGATCGCTTGTCGCAGTTGGCGCAGCACTCTCGTACTGCGTGTCATCATCACACTGCGTGAGCGGGGAGCACACGTGGTCCGAAAACCCGTCTGAAACAACGGCAATAAATGCGTCCTGGGCAGAGCAGTCTGTCAACGGTTCACAGGCTGTGTCTGTTGTTGCCGTTGCGGGCTGCACCTCATAGCTGTTGATGTCCAGGCAGGAAGTGACCGGAGCGCAGGTGCGATCACTGGTGACAGTTGGTGCAACAGCCTCGAACTCCAGCCACACGGCCGTGCTGGTGGTTGTGGCTGTCGTTGTGGGAGACGGTGCAGGTGTGGATGGATCGTCACGCGTTGATTGGCACACGCGGCCCGTGCTTCCGCTACCGACGCCCGTGTACCCATCAGGGCACTCCGTCACGCATGTCCCTGGTGGTGGTGGTGGTGGTTTGGGGTGGGTGTGGGGTAAGAGCGCAACAGGTGCAGAAAGAGGACACAGGTGCAGATGTGTATGGTGTGAGCAGCAACATTGACAACCAAAGACGTTCGACGTGCAGGGCGACAAACACAAACATAGCATCACACATACACACGCAAACACCTTGGTGGAGGTAGCGTTGGCTGCCGCAAAGGGTGCATTCCGTCGCAATCGGGGGTCCAAACGCGTAGTTGCACACCTGTACCCGTCGTGGGGTGTGCGAGGTTGCGTTAGTGTGCGAGGAAGTGGGGACGTTTGGCGTCGCATTTTTCATGTAGGAACACCAAGCAAAACGCGATGCGCACACAAATCACACACACACACACACACACACACACACACATTGTGCGCACCAGGCAGAAGGTGGGGCAGGAGCAGGTGCCAAAGTAGGAGGTGCCGGAGACGGCCGAGCACTGCGTTGTGCACTTGGTGATGGGCAGACAGGTAGCGGAGCTGGGGTCAAAGTACACGCTGGTGCCATCGCCCATGCCATTTTGGCATCCATTTTGCTCTTCTTGACCAAAGGTGAGGCGGGTGGTGAGCTGCAGCAACAGCAAAACGACCCCCAAAACGCCAGCCCTGCGACTGACAGGGGTTCCCGCCGAAGGCATCGAAGCAGGCGTGATGCTTTTTGTTGTAGTGTTTCAAGTAGCTGTGGTTGTGGATGGCGGTGATGGGATGGTGGTGGTCGTCGTCAGAAGCAGAGGTGGGATCAGGTTGTGGTGGTGACAAACAAGAGTGTTTTGCTTTTGCTTGTTTTGCGCTTTGCTTTGCTTTGCTTGCAGGCTTGGCTTTGTTGGCTTGCGGAGGGAGGACAGCAAGAAGCAAAGCACGAAAGCAAAACAAACAGCAAAGGGAACATAAACAAACAGGATAAGTTGTGGCAAAGGAACGTGTAGAAAGTTATACGAAGATATGCTGAAAAGTGCCACAATTGTGCGGCAAAATTCAGCGTTGTGTTTCTATGCAAAAAATTGGCCTCCGCAGCTGAACCCCAGTAGCGCAATGGCAGCGCGTCGGCCTCCTACGCCCGAAGTAAGCCGAAGGTTGCGGGTTCGAGTCCCGTCTGGGGTGTTTTTTTTTCCACAGCAGAAGAAGAAACCTGATGATGAGTTCCTGTTCCTCCCCCCCCCCCTTCTCCCCCCCTTCTCTCCTTTTGCTTCACGCGTTGTTCATTCATGCGTTTACTATTGCAACGACCAGCATTGCTACGAGTGCCCAGCACCCCTCACAGCCACAACCACTCCAATAAACGACAGTTCTCGCTTTCGCTATCTGTCTTGCCTTTCCTTGGCAGCCTTTGGCTTGCCCTCCTCTTGCTGCTGCTGCTGGTGGTGGTGCTGTTGCTGCTGCGAGCGCGCCACGTGCTCACTTGTTGATTCCACTTGTGTGGTTGCCTGCGCATCAGCTGCTGCCCTGCTCTCAACGCCACCACTCTTGTTGTTGCTGGTGCTTGGTTGCTTGTGCTGGGTTCCTGTGAGCGACTCTTCCCACTGCGCCCAGTCTGTCACGGCATCCCATTCGCTCGACGCCTTTCCATCTTTGAACCCTGTCACGTACATACGTGGGAGTGGTATAGAGCAATGAATAAGTAAGGTAGAGCACGTTGGTGTCAACAGCACACGCAGACACACACGGTGCCGTCCACCAGGTCTGAGTCTCACCCTGCGCAAACTTCTGAAGGGCAATGCGATACACGGCCACCCAGTCTTGAATATAGTCCTTGAGTGCGGGACTTGCATCCTTCTGCACAACGGCAAGCAGCATCGCGTCGCCCAACAACGTCAGGCACGCAACGCCAGGCACGCAAGATGGCACGCAGCTGGTGGCACGCAAGATGGCACGCAGCTGGTGGCACGCAGCACACACACACACACACGCGCACAGACACACACACACATAGGCACAGACACACACGTACCATCAAGCCAGACGACTCTTTGTGAATGTCCTTGACCGCTTGTCGCTGCTCCTGCATGGCCTTGATCAGCTCTTCCTGTTGCTTACGTCTGCGTTCTGTCAAAGGAACAAGCGCGGCGGAGAAAGTGCGGAAGGTGACGAGGTCGTATGCGTGTGTGTGTGTTTATCAGCGAGTGAGTAACAGGCGTGCCCATTGCGAGGCTGTGGTGGATGGAACAATTCACTCCCACGTTTAAGCACGTCCACACACGTTCGCAAACACACTCACTGCCTTACCCGCAGCGCTTGTCCATGTGTCACGGTAGATTTTCCATCCGATCTTGATGCGGGTGAGTAAGGGTTTGCGCGTCTTCTGCAGCTCCTTCTGCTGCTCCTCATACCTTCAGGGGATGAGCGCATGGACGCGCAACTAAATGAGCAACTTGAATGCGCAACAGACCAGGGGAGCAACACACAGACACACAGACACACAGACACACAGACACACAGACACCCACAACACACCATCTTGGGTTTGGCAGCGGTCGCGTCTTCACAAACGTCTCCTCATACACTCTGCGCAGGAATCGCCGCATTGTGGAGAATTTGTAGGAAATGCGCACCAAATTTCAGCAGAGGTGTGTGTGTGTGTGTGTGTGTGTGTGTGTGTGTGTGTGTGTGTGTGTGTGTGTGTGTGTGTGTGTGTGTGTGTGTGTGTGTGTGTGTGCTTGCCGTTCTTCGCTTCTTCTCTTCTTCTCTTCTTCTCTTCTTCGCTCACTCACTTGCTTACACCTCTCCTTTGTACCCGCCATCCCCCCCCCTACACACGCACGCACACCTTCATTGTGTTGTCGTTCATCTTCTCAATTAAGTACACAATACGCACACATGCACACCAATGCACGCGCAAGCACACAAAGCAAAAAGCGAGGAACATGGAGATTGTGTCTGCGCATGTGACACTGTCTGTGTGCAGCAGCACGCGACTGCACACGCACGTCCACGGTGGCCTCAGCCATACACTCACACCCGCGCAGAATAATGAAGCAAAAAGAAACAGAAAATGAATGAAATGACATGAAGTGACAGATGCATCTCCAGTTGCAATCACGCGCTCTCCTCTCCACACTTGGGTATGTTCTCTGTTGGGTGGTGGGCAGTTCCTGCCCCGCGTAGTCTGACGAACGGATCTCAGCAGATGAATGTGTGTGAATCCAAGCGCTGAATCAACCGCTGCGCAACCGCACACATGTGACAAGCAAGCCGTGGTGAATGAGTAACATGCAAGTCACCAAGTCAGAAAAGTGACTGAGGCTGAGAGATGGAGAGACACAGACCCACAGACCCACAGACCCACCACACACACACACACACACACTCTCTCTCTCTCTCTCTCACCCACACCCACACTCACCAGCTCTCGTCCCTCCCTTCCTCTCAACACCAACCTTGGCGCTGGTCGCTGGTCGCTGTGCGTTCTCCTTGTCCACAGCGGGCGCGTTCTCGTCGGCCTCGTCAGCGCCAGTACACTCGCTGCTACCGTCTCTGGTCGATCTCGCTATCATCATCAAGGGGCGCTTCTGCTGTGGCTCCCCGCTGCTGCTGCCTGCAAGCACATCAGACTGATCGTGCTGCCTGCGCCGCAGTGGTACCAGGTGCTTTCGGTCGTGCGTTGCCGCAGTCGTGGGCGTGCGCACAACATTGCGAGCCATCAGAGGTGGCCTTGTCGCCACGTCAGCAGCAACAGCTGACGCTGTTCCAGTCGACGTATCAGGCGCTGCTTTCTCATCGTCATCGCTCCGTCCACTGTTGCCGCTCACCAGCTTACTCCGAAGCAACAACAACTGCTGCTGCTGCTGCTGCTTCTGCTCGTTGTGTTGCTGTCTGTGCTGACCGGATTGCTGTTGGGGTGGTTGGTCAAAGCGAAGTGGAACGTGCTGCGTATCGTCCCATTGCAGCTTCGGCATGGGGCGTGTCGAGCGTGGTCGTGCAATGCGTGGCGTGCGCTTGGCAGCAGCAGAGAGCGCTGCTCGCATGCACGGGCTGCTCACTTGCTCACGATCAAGTTCGCCATCGCCGCCAGCATCCGCGCTGCGTTGCATCGCGGTGGCCTCATCGTTGGCCTGCTTGACACCATCTCTGCCGTTCGCCTTACGCTCATCAGCATCAGTAGAAGCATCAGTACAAGCAGCGGCTTTGGTGTCACGAGCATGGAGACTATTTGGCGGGAAACCAAACGGGGTGCTTGGTGCATCGCCGCCGTTGTCATCAGCACGTGCGCCTGACGTCGACGCTGAAGTCAAGTCCACGGCTGATGATGCTGGTGATTGTGGTTGGGCTGAAGTGGTCCCCGTGACGTTCTTGGCGGTGGCGCTACCCGCAACAGCTTCATCAGCTGACTCGCCCCCCTTCCTCGACACATCATCAGTTGTTGTTGGTGCTGAGATGGACACGGCAGGCGGAATGTCACCAGCAGACAGGCCGCGCTTCCGTGACCGCGGCGTTGCCAGTCGCGACAGCACCTGCACGCAGGGAATTGTGCATAAGCGTGTGAAACAGCAGTGAGGAGTGAGTGTGTGTATGTGTGCATGTGTGTGTGTGTGCAAGGAAGTGTAGGTGGGAAAGCCAATGACCTGCACAGAGCACTTCCAAAGTCCTCGCAATAATTTGGAATTCCAATCACCACACACACACACACGCACACACACACACACACACACACACACACACACACACCTTGCGTGCGCGCCGCGGTGTCGATGCAAGTGCGTGCGTGAGTTCCTTTAACCTGGACGGCTGCTGCTTTCGAAGCGCTTCTGCCTCGTTCTCCAACTGCGCAAATTGGCACGTGTGTGAGATCACGAAATACAATTATTGCGCGTGTGAATACGTTTGTGATTGCCACACACTGATTTGCACCAGTCAATGGCAAAATCAAACTGTTGTTCTCCTTTACCCACGCCACTAACACACACACACACACACACACACACACACACACATGTTCAAATTCACACACACACACACACATACACTCACGTGTTCAAATTCACACACACACACATACACTCACGCACAGACCTCGCGTCGCTCCTCCGCTGTTTCCGCCATGGACGCCGTCATCACCAGCATCTAAAGCCGTGTCAATGGTGTTTGGTGAGCTGAAAATGTCACGACACGCCAACATGCATGCATGCAGACGAATACAAGCAGCAATCCAAACACTGAAACCCATGTGAACATGCAGATGTACGTAGGTTCATGTACACTGCTACACACACACACATATCACCACGCCACAACGCCGGCAATCACTCACCGCAATGAGCTTGTCCCTGTATGTCTTGATGGCGGGGCGAGCGGCACCCTGTTCGAGAGCACGTGCCAATTTTGCGCGCCACTGCTCGCACATTTGGCGGTGCAACCCCAACACATCCGCACGTCCGCTTCCGTAGGACACAACCACGTCACCCGTGTCATCCATCACTGCTCCTCGCGCATCCCGCACAAACGGCGGTGGCGTTGCGGTTGTAGTTGCGGTTGCACATGCGCATGCACATGCACGGACATCTGCTGCTGTGGTTGGTGCTGGTGTTGTTGCTCTGGGTGCCGGTGTGGCGGACGTTGGTGTCGCCGCGTGCATGATGCGACTTGGAGTGGCAACACACGCATTCTTTGCTGCTGTCGTGTGGCTTGATGATGATGATGATGATGATGATGATGATGATGATGATGATGATGATGATGATGACAATGATGATGATGATGATGAGGATGATGAGGACGTTCTTGTAACTCTGCGTGAGGGTGTACATGTGCACGCCATAGGCACGTTGCTCGCTGTTGCTGTTGCTGGCAACGTGCCCGCACTCGTTCCCCTTTCCCGCGCTTCTTGCTCTAGTCATTATTGTGTGTGTGTGTGCATGTTGGAATGAACGAAGGTTGCAATGGGTAAAACGCACAAGCAATCGCGTACGCCCACAGTAATGCTGTCACACATTGATGTACGTTCACATGTAAACAAACACACACGCAGGCGCACATACACACACACGCACACATATATACACACATACGCACATGTCCACACATATCTGCACTCGCGTGTTACTGCTTACCGAGGTGACAACGGTGCATAATCTCTTCCTTGATGCAGCGGTCGAGGGTGGAGGCGAAATGGGTTGGCGCCTGAACACAAGACGAGTAATGTTACACACGTATGGTTGGTTTGTGAGCGTTGATGGATAGAGAGAAGTGGGCAGAGGGTGTGTGTAGTTGTGGAATATATGTGAGTGGGTCGGTGGAAGCCGAGTCGATGCACAGCGACATCACCAATCACAACAGCAACAGTCACACCAACCAACAACAGCACTATCGACAACAACAGCCACTGTCCTTCCAGCTTTCGCCCTCTTCACTCACATCCAGGCATGTGGTTCCTGTTTGGATCAGGTACTCCCCGAGCTGGTTCACAAAGCATACGTGTCGTGCCTGCAAGCATAAAACAACATGATGTTGAGGAAAGGCGATGCGTCAGGCCTCTGCCGTGATTGCGTCTCGTCACGTTGACAGATAGAATGTTTAGCCCTCTCAAAAGAGAGCTATCAAGCACACACACACACACACACACACACACACACACACACACACACACACACACACACACTTACGCACGCACGCACGCACACACGCTGTCTCTCTCTTCCTCTATCTGTCTCTTCGCTTCACCTCCTCCATGGCGGTGATCTTCCCGGTGTCATCCGATGAGATGAGTGAGGGGCTGATGCAACGCGACAGGTTCTCCGCGGTCATCTTGTTCTTGGGCGCTACACGTGAGAATGGACGAATTAATTGGTGGGTGAGTAGTTGGGCGAGCGAGTAGAACAGCAATCATTCAGCACACGTGGGACCACACACACACACACACACACACACACACACACACACACACACACACACACACACACACACACACACACACGCACGCACACACACAACATGTCATCTCACACCACCACCATCACTGGCACGGCCCTCCTCCCGTCAACAAACCGTGCTTGTGAACAGTGTGCAGCATCCCCACAATCGCCTGTAGCGCCGTGCGGGCTGAGGAGGTCGCGACCATGTTCAGCAACACACATCCAACGACTTGTTGGTGAGGGCAACGCCAACATAGCGATGAATGCAGCGCATCGTGACAGGATGCGTGTCACTGCGGCCCCCTTCATACACACAGACACTCACGCGCGCGCGCCCACACACACACACACACACACACACACACACACACACACACACACACACACACACACACACATACGCTCACATACATACAACATACACATACCGTTGTTGGAGAGGCCGAGAAAGAAGAGTCGAAAGCCTTCCAATCGCTTCTCCTCGTTTGAAATGTCTAACGTGGGGCGTGAGAGTGAGAGGCACGACGACATGAGCGAAATTGCACAAAACACACGCCCTTCTTTACCTCCTTGTCTTCATTCACACACACACACACACGTACGCACACGTACGCACACACACACACAGACACACACACACACGTACGCACGCACCGAGCAATTTCTTCAGAAGTGGCAGCGACGAGTAGGACAGAATGCTCTGCTTCCAATTCACGAGCAGGTGCTTCAGCAAGCTCGTCAGCAGGTGCACATTGTGCCTGCGGGCGAGATGCAGAGCAATGAGAGCACGTATTGACAGTCGTCGGACGACAACGCACCAGATAGTCATTGCACAACTCCAACAATCGCAAGCTCCTCCACGTCCACCCACATCTGCAAGTCACCTCCCCTCAACATACACACACACACACACACGCACAAATCACGCACGATGTTCCGATGGCCACGTAGTCGATGGTTTTGCCGCTTTGCAGCTTGGCAAAGAGCGCAAGCATCTCCTTGCGGTTGGCGCCAATGCGAAACAGCCCTTCGTGGCTCGCACCTTTCGGACACACATTATCCAACAAGGTAAAGGCACACAACTCAATAAGTATGCTGACAACGACACCCACGCTCATCAGCACTCTCGCCAACGCCAGTAAACACCACACCATTCTAGCGCCCGCCATCACACACACACACACACGCACACGCACGCACACACATACTCAAAACACACAGACATATATGGTGACTTTAAGTCTCCCTTATACTCTTTCCACGTACATCTGTCGTCACGAAGCACGTTGACCAGCAAGATGATGTGACGCAGCAAGGGGTCGCACGTCTCGACAGCAGCTGTCATGGTTGCATTTGGGTACACGTGTACGTGTGTATGTATACGTATGTGTTTGTGTGTGCATGAGCGTGTCACAGAGCTGATAAGAAGAAAACAGGCAAACAAGATCAACATGTAAGCACGACCAGAGCACCACACACACACACATAAGTATACCCACCACACACACAAACACACACACACACACAAACACACACACACACGAGTACACCCACCACACACACACACACACAAGTCCACACCTGGCACGTTTGTCGTGTATGGGGCGTAGTGTGGCTGGTCTGGCGAAGCGGCATCAATGTCCCGCAGGTTCTTCAATATCTCCGCGCCATCAGCCACCGTCAACTCCTGAGCAAAGGTCGTCTCCACAAGCTTCGACAGCTGCTGCTTTACAGCCGCCTCCGCTGCACGGAACGGTATGTCTGCATGCTTCATCATGCGTGTGTGTGTGCGTGTGTGTGCGTGCGTGTGTGTGTGTGTGTGTCGTGTGTGTGTGTGTGTGTGTGTGTGTGTGTGTGTGTGTGTGTGTGTGTGTGTGTTCGCGTTGGCCGATCTCGCTTTTCAAATTTGCCGGCGCAACCCAAGCAGCTGTCAAAATTGACAGCGGCTGCAAAAAGCAAACTATGTAGCCTGCAATTTGCAAAGCGCTGACACACAAACAAGACGAGAGCGGACAGCCGCACCCCACAACAACAACACAACGACAACCTGCCGTTCTTGTGCCTGATCGCCGCTCTGCTCCTCTTCTGCTCTGCTCCGCTGCTCCTCCACTGCTGCTTTGTGCACGCTGTGTACGCTCGTCCTCTCCTTCTCCTCCACCTTCCTTCACGCTGGTGTTGGAGTTTGAGCACGTACCATCTCAGTCACGGGTGTCGCTGCTGGCCACCACGCGTGCCACGTCGTGCGCATCAAACGAGACTGTGTCATACGCCAACCATGACACCACGTTGTGTCGTGTGGCTGCCCATCAGCGCTCTGCTGCTGCTCCTCGCTGCCGCCTCCGCCGTCTCAGCACAAGAATGTGGCATCGGTGCGTGTGCATCTTCTTGCTGGTTTGTGTTTGTATCTGCCAGGTTGGCAAAGTGTGGTGTGCGTCAGTTGCCTCACAGCTGCTTTGTTCATGCCATGTCAGGCGAGCGGCTGAGCTCGTCCAACGAGTCTATTGCCTGTGACCGCGGCTACAAGTGCCCATTCACCAACTGCACAAGGATTCCGTGCCAACCACCGACCTACCAGGACGAACGCGGACAAGCAGAGGTGAGGGGTGAGACGCCTTGTATGGGTGTATGCAACGTGTGCGTGTGTGCGCATGTGTGTGTGTGTGGTTGCACACGTGCCGATGTGTTGACGCACATGCATTGGTACGTGTGTGCTTGAGTGTGTACTCATCTATGCACGATGGGACAAAGTAAGTCCTCGATTTCCCTCGACTTGTTGACATCACTCGTCACACTTATCATCCACATTCAGCCACAACCACATAACCAATGCACACACAATTCATGGTACTCATCCCCTCTCCCATCTGCTGCAGTGCAAACCGTGCGCTGCCGGCTTGAGACGCGTCAATGCGGCACACGTCGAGCCCTGTCCGCCCGGATTCGAGTGCCCATACGGCACTGATCAACCCGATCAGTGTGGAAGCGCAATACCATGCACAGCCGGCACCTTCTCAACCGGCAACGCCACAGGTGTGTGTATGTGTGTGTGTATGTGTGTGTGTGTGTGTGAGTGTGTGTGTGTGTGTGTGTGTGTGTGTGTGTGTGTGTGTGTGTGTGGGTGTGTGTGTGTGTGTGTGTGTGTGTGTGTGTGTGTGTGTGTGTGTGTGTGTGTGTGTGTGTGTGTGTGTGTGTGTGTGTGTGTGTGTGGGTGTGTGTGTGTGTGTGTGTGTGTGTGGGTGTGTGGGTGTGTGGGTGTGTGGGTGTGTGGGTGTGTGAGTGGGTGTGGGTGCGCATCTGTTCGCACCCGCTTTTCCCTTCATCGCGTCTTTATCACCTCTACATCTCTCCATTATATTTCCATCGTCGCTTCACCATCGTCTTCTCATCACCTCTCCATCCTGCCGTGCCCCATTGCTCCAGCGTGCACTGCCTGCTCCTCGTGCTCGGTTGGTTTCAACGTCTCCACCGCTTGCAACGCCACAGCCGATACAGTCTGTCAAGGTGAGACCCATGTCACGTGACTCTTTGCGATTGGGTGTGTGTGTGTGTGTGTGTGTGTGTGTGTGTGTGCGCGCAAGTGTGATTGTGTGTGCGCGCAAGTGTGATTGTGTGCGTGTAAGTGTGATTGTGTGCGTGAGAGAGAGCGAGTGCGAGAGAGAGCGAGAGAGAGAGTGCGTGTGTGTGTGTTGCTTTGTAGAACAGCGCCTAGCTGTCCTCACCAATGCTTCCGCATTGTGCAACCTTCCCATGCCTCAGCCATTCCAACTCACAACGCTGCTCGTATCCACCAACCCCCACCGCACTTATTTGCATCTGCAATTGTCCACCAGACACCACGCCCCCAACACTTTCCCTCCTCAATCCAGCCACGGGCGCTGCATTTGCCAACAACAGCATGTATGAGGTGGAGGCGAGTGCAGCCCTCTCATTCAATCGACCCATCGTCATGGCAAGCGATAACAGTGGCGTCACACCCACACGCGTCTCCCCAACAGAAGCACAACTCAACGCCATCACCATTGGTGAGTGTATTTGCTTTCATCACCGCACTTTTCGTATTGACACTGCCATGCTCAACTTGTAAGAACATAGCGTATATGCATCACTTGTCACTTGTACTCGCAAGCCACTCACTCACTCACTCACTCACTCACTCACTCACTCCACTCACTCACTCACTCCACTCACTCCACTCACTCCACTCACTCCACTCACTCCACTCACTCCACTCACTCACTCACTCCACTCACTCACACACGCACAAACGCACTCACTCACTCACTCACTCACTCGCTCACTCACTCACTCCTGCAACTTTTCCCACAGCTGGCCACAACGTAAACTACACGCTCGTGTACGTGGTGCAGGACGAAGCGAGCCTGCAAGCAACGTTCGTACTGCACGTGCACGTCCGTGACACAACCCCGCCCACGCTTGGGCTGGCAGGACCACACACAGTCCTCCTTGAAGCAGGACTGCAAGCGGAACGTTGGGTCGACCCCGGCATTGCCCGTGCATTTGATACTCTGGCCGGCAACCTCACGTCCCGCGTCACAACGGCAATCACACGCGTGTCATCAGGCATTGTTGCGAACACCTCGTGCCCACTTTCCTCAGCGCGCGACCTCTACCCGCCACTTGTGCCGGCGGCAAGTGTCACCACGACAGCTGCAACAAGTGCAACAGCTGCAACAACGACCGTTGCCACAACTGCAATGAGCGATATGATCGATGCGCACGCTCCCGCCAACACGACATACGTGATCCAATATGCGGTCTCGGATGACGCTGGACACACCACCACCGTGGACCGAACCGTTGTCATCATCGACACTCAGCCGCCAACCATCTCCTTTACTGCCACCACCGCCACTGCCACCACTGCCTTGGTTGCGGCGTTGGATGTGGTGCAGTTGGAGTTTGGGGCTGCAGCAAGGGCGGCTCGCATGCTTGCAGGCAACAGCACCAACGTGGCAGCTGCTGATGTCAATGATGGCGACATCACCGCACACTTGTGCGTGCAAGTTGCGCGCGTCACGCAATTTGCAACGGGCATCCTCCACAACATCACCACCACCAACACCTCCACCGCTGCGACCTGGACAGCAACGCGCGCCCTGGCCTTCATCACCAACACATCATCGTCATCATCATCATTGGTGTCGTGGTTCCAGCTCTCTGTGGTTGATGCTCACGATGAAGTGGGAACGGTGTTTGTTGTCCGCTTCGATGTCACAGACAGGGCGGGGCTGATGGCCGCACCGGCATTTCGTGCCGCTGTCATTGTCGACACAACACCGCCAACCCTCACCCTCCGTTCACCAACCACGGCAGCAACCACAACGACAACTACAAAGACGACAACGACAACAACGACAGCAGGAAATGATACAGTTTCTTCCACCACCACCACTCCCACCACTGGTAGTAATGCAACAGCGACACCAGGTACAGCATCCACAACCACACCACCACCACCACCACTGACGGTCGTCGTTGGCTACGCCCTTCGCTATCGCGAGCCCGGATTTCGTGCTGTGGACACACACGATGGCGATATAACAAGTGCCGTGGTGGTGGTGGTGAATAGCGGCAGCAGCAATGGTGACAACAGCAATGGTGGCAGCAGCATTGATACGCGTGTGCCGGGTGTGTACTCGCTGTTGTATCGAGTGGCAGATGCGAATGGGAACGAGGCAACAGCATCACGCCGTGTTGTTGTGCAGTCCAAGCCACGCCCACCGCAGCAACAGTCGGATGTTGTTGTGGTTGTGCTGGATGGTGTTTTGCCGCCGGCGCTTTTGCCTGCAGGCAATGACACGCGTGCGCTTGAGCTGCACCTCGCCAGCTTGCTGAACAACGCCCCCGTTGTTGTCTTCTCTGTCTACAACACCACCCGTCCACAGCAAGGACGACGACGACGACGAGCAAGTGGCGATGACGTGACGGCTGTTGAGTTTGCAGTCAGAAGCGACAGTGTTGGTGGCGGTGTTGGATGGATGGATGGTGGTACAGTCGCATCGACTCTCGAGTCTGCAGCCAGCGGTGGCGTTGGTGGTGTTGGTGTGCTACGTGTGGCCACGCTGGACGCCATTGCGATGACAACAGCGCCACCAGCCACCACCGCTCCAATGACAACGACAACAACAACAGCAGCTAGCACGAGCAGCGGTGATGGGCAGACAGGCAACAACAGGGGCAGTGGTGGTAGTGACGACGGTACTGTCGCGGGTGCTGTGATTGGAGCATTGGCAGCCGTTGCACTCGTTGTTGTGCTGGCCGTTCTGTTGCGTCGACGGTGGTTTGACAAGAGACACCAGGGCGCCAGCATCACGTCACCAACACACGCATCGCAAAGGTCCACAACACCACCAGCACCACCGTCAACATCGGCGTCATCGGCCGCAACAGCCACCACTGTAGCTGCACCAGGCGCCACACACCCAACCGCCCTTGAAGGAGGACTGAAGGCACATGACGCAATTCACGGTCGCGCGCGTGACCGGAGAAGTGTGGACGGACACTACTATGAGATTGACGACGACACCACCACCAGCAGCAGCAGCGGCAACGATGACAGTGCAACCGCTGCTACAAACGTCGGCACCCAAGCAGAAATGACAGCACCACCAGCAACAATAACACCCGCGACGGCAGCAACAGCTGCACCAGCGACGTCTGCGGATGCGCGTGGCGGTGACCGTGGCACCGCGCCACAGCACATACTTGGTGATGGAACTGAAGAGAACGAAGACGATGAGGAGTATGACAAGCGACCTGATACTGTCGGCGCAATGGCTGTGCCGCCCCTGCCACCACGAGGCAGAAGCGGCATTGTGCACGCGCCTGATGCTGATTGTCATGGTGGGGATAACAATGTTGGTGATCATGACAGTGACCATGAAGGTGGAGACACACCACAGAAGCGAGAGGGGACAGACAAGCAACAACAGCAGCAGCAGCAGCGCAGGGAAGTGCTCTTCACCATACCGCCATCATCATCGCCACCATCGTCATCGTCACCACCATCATCCTCACGGGACAACGACGTGCATGTGCCCTTGTCCGCAATGATGCGAGGCAGGCTGGAGGTGGTGGACGCTCACAGCACATATGGTGACACGCAACCAAGACAACAACAACAGCAGCAACAGCAGCAGCAGCAGCAGCAAAAGGAACATGGTGAGGAGGACAGTGACAGCGACAGTGATGACGATGCTGGCATTGATGTGGATGCATTGAGTTCATCGGGTGGTGTCGCGAGTGCGGCTGCTATGACGAGTGGTGGCGGTGTTGGTGGTGGTCAACAGGATCGCGGGTCTGTGCGCAGGACGCGCAGACGCTCCAGCCTCAACGACAGCCACGCGTACGAAACCATCTCAGACATCGATGAGGATGATGACGACGACGACAACAACAACACCACCAGCTCCAACAACAGCAATGAGAACAGTAACGGCGCGGCGGCGGAGGTGGAGGTGGAGGCGGTGTATGATGTTCCCAAGCGAGAGGCTGTCAAGAAGACAGCAGCCAACTTGCACCACCAGCACAACGGTGGCGTTGGCGGAGATGAAGGTGGTGCGGGAACAACAACAGCACCGACAACAGAAACAACGTCAGCACGCACGACGGCAGGAACACAATCACATCCACAGGAGCTGCGCGTGGAGAACATCTACGAGCAAGTGGATGATGACGACGACGACGATGTCGAGAACTACTATGAAGATGTCAGATTTGATCGTCCTGTGGGCAGCAGTGCTGCGCGTGCTCCAGTTGTACACACCGGTGACAATGGCCATGATGGGGATGGTTTGTACGACTATCCGAAGCGCGAACCAACTCGCGGCCACAGGACAGCAGCAGCAGCAGCAGCAACAGCAACAACTGCAACCACAGCGCCTGTGGGCATTCCTTCTTCACGGGAGCAGCAGCAGCAGCAGCAGCAGCAGCAGCAGCAGGTGCCCGCACGGAAGAAAGCGAAAGTTGAACCGAGACGGAAGCGGCGATCCAGGAAGCAGCCAACAGTGCCGTCACGACCGCCATCACTGCCACCCATCTCAACATCGTCCGCATCATCATCGAGGACAGCAACACGATCAACTCACCACCAACACCACCACCAACAGCACCACCAACAACAAGCGCGTGAGCAGGCCACAGCGTCACCGTCCACGCATCTCCCATTACCGTCACTCCCAACAGCAGCAGCAACAACAACAACAACAGCAGCGCAGCCCGCAGACAGCACCACGAGTGCAAATGGGCCTGGCTTGCGGGTTGTTGATGAGGACTTGTTTGCGCCAACGCCAATGGCAATGAAGTCCACACACAAGCATGACAGCCATCACGCCACCGACACCACCACCGCCGCTTCTGTCACCAGTACGAGTGGTGGCAACGACAACAACAGGTCAGCGCAACAGCAGTCATCATCACGACGTGTTCACGTCACGTGCACGCGCGACCTGGAGCAGGAAGCAGAAACGTTGCCTGGCTTCATCGGACGGAAATCGCGCACAGCAGCAGAGGATGTGCTGTTGGGTCCACCAACCACCACATCAGCCACAACATCAGCCACACCATCAACAGCAGCCACGTTACCATCGCCATCACGCGGGGTGGTGGGCACGTACGTGTGGCGCCTGTCTGACCGGCAGAGCGGGGTGGTGCTGTCGCTGGTGGTGAGCGCGTCCGTGTGCGAGCACCACATCTTCACGTGGGACGACAAGACAGGCGAGGTGTTGGTGAACGGGAAACCCATTGGATACAGCGATGGACGGGATGGACGTGCTGGTGATGGACGTGGTGATGGACGTGCTGGTGATGGAAGAGTGGGTGGAAGGGGGAAGTGTTGCGGGCTGAGTGCGGCGCTGGCTGAGATCCAGGTACACCCGCAAGGTGTCATGACCACTGCACCAACAACGCCAGCACACGTGCCCAGATGACCGGAGGGCGGGTGATGTGTGTGTGTGTGTGTGTGGGGGGGGGGGTGTATCTGTGTGTTTATGCGATGTGGGCTGTCATGTTGGGTTGTGTGTGGGTGTGTGTTGTATTGTTGAGACGCCATGGGTTTGGTCGTGTTGATATGGTTCGCCTGCTGTGACATTGTTGGCTGTCCGTTTCATACTTTGTGTTGCACGTCTGCATTTCATTTCACCCTCGTGCAACGCTTGCCCCCACCCCTCTCTTTTTCCCAACACACGATTGTATCTTGAGCATGGCTGTACTTTTTCTCGTGTCCGTCCCACTGCACACACACACACACACACATCACACA